GAGCAGCCAAAGTTTTATGCACATGAAGTTCACCCGGACGAAGGAGAACAGGTACATCTTGGGCCAAAACAGCGCCCCCTTCGAGAGCATCCCAGAGGTCATCCATCACTACGCCACTCAAGAGCTGCCCATCAAAGGGGCTGAGCATCTTTCCTTGCTGCATCCCGTGGCAGTTCAGACTGCGTGAGACAAACTGGAAGCCACGGGCTCGCTCTGGATTCAGACAATCGGCTCTGATCCTCACCTGGGCTGGAGAAGTTGGGGGTCTCACCAGGGACTTACAGACAATGTGTCTCCCCCCTTTTGATGGGGGGGGTGTTTCTCCCTGTGGGGAGAGAGGCTTCCCTTCCTCTTCTTCTCCTGTTTTCGAGCAATAATGGTGCCTCTTTGCTTCTAAACGACAGACGGTCCTCGACTTGCAACCGTCCATTAATGACCATTTAGAGCAGGGGTTCTCAACCTTGGCAACTTTAAGACTTGTGGACTTCAAATCTCAGAATTCCTCAGCCAGCAAAGCTGGCTGAGGAATTCTGGGAGTTGAAGTCCACAAGTCTTAAAGTTGCCAAGGTTGAGAACCCCTGATTTAGAGTTACAACGCCAGTGAAAAAGGTGACATGACCGATTTTCACACTTAAGACCGTTGCAGCATCCTCCACGGTCATGTGATCTAAATTCAGATGCTTGGCAACTGACTCCTACTTAACGACGGTTTGCAGTGTCCCGGGGTCATGTGATCCCTTTTGGCGACCTTCAGCGGGGGGAAACCAGCTTCACTTTACAACTGTGGGGCTAACTTAACGACGGCAGCGATTCGCTTAACAACTGTGGCGAGAAAGGTCGTAAAACAGGGGCAAAACTCTCAGTTAACAAATGTCTCATAAATTTTGGGCTCCGTTGTAGTTGTACGTCGAGGGTTTCCTGCATCACACTGCCGTGACTACAGTAGTCCTCCACTTACAACCGTTTGTTTAGTGACCGCTTACCTCGCCCTTATGACGGTCCCAGCGTCACCGAGGTCATGTGATCAAAATGTGACCGGTCTCTGGCATGTATTTTATGACGGTTGCAGCGTCTTGGGATCACACGGTCGCCGTGCTTCGAACAAGCCAAGTCAGTGGGAGAAGATGGAACCTCTTAACGACCGTAGGATTCGCTTAACAACTGTGCTGATTCGCTTTACAACGGTGGCGCAAAACTGTTGTAAAATCGTACGTGACTTGCTTAATGACTGCCTCGCTTAGCAGTGGAAATTCTGGTCATAAGTTGAGGATGGCCTGTAATCCCCTCCCTCTTCCTGTTGCTTGCTAGAAACCCGGAAAGGCTACTCGGTTTTTGTCAGTCTTGGCCACTTGAAAACAGGTGGACTTCAACTCCCAGAATTCCCCAGCCAGCATGTTGATTAGGGAATTCTGGGAGTTGAAGTCCACACATCTGGTTGGAATGATATACAGCAAAGGCCTTCAAACTTGGCAACTTTTGTGGACTTCAACTCCCAGAATTCCTCAGCCAGCATGGGGGAACTCTGGCCCCTTCATGACTTGTGGACTTCAACTCCCAGAATTCCTCAGCCAGCATGGGGGAACTATGGCCCCTTCATGACTTGTGGACTTCAACTCCCAGAATTCCTCAGCCAGCATGGGGGAACTATGGCCCCTTCGTGACTTGTGGACTTCAACTCCCAGAATTCCTCAGCCAGCATGGGGGAACTATGGCCCCTTCGTGACTTGCGGACTTCAACTCCCAGCATTCCTCAGCCAGCATGGGGGAACTATGGCCCCTTCATGACTTCTGGACTTCAACTCCCAGAATTCCTCAGCCAGGCACACTGGCTGAGGAATTCTGGGAGTTGAAGTCCACAAGTCATAAAAGGGCCAAGTTTGAAGACCCCTGTGGTTGAACATCGAACTAAAACTGGTACGCAGTCAAAAATTCCCCTTCCCATCAAATTGCTTGTCTGAATTCTCCAACGAGCTAAAAAAAACAGATTCCCCTGAACAGATAGTCCTCGATTTACGACCTTTCATGTAGTGATTGTTCAACGTTACAGCGGCAGTGAAAAAAATGACCTAGGGCTGTTTTTTCACCCTTATGACCCTTGCAACATCTCCGCAATCACATGATCAAAGTTTGGACACTTGGCAACTGACTCATATTTATGACGGGGGCAGCCTCCCCGGGGCTGATGGGATCCCCTTGGGCGACCTTCTGACAAGCAAAGTCAGGGGGAAGGCAGATTCACTTTACAACCTTACACTTTACAACCGTGTTACCAGCTGAACAGCCACAGTGATTCACTTCACAATGGTGGCAAGAAAGGTCGTCAAATGGGGCAAAACTCAGAATGTCCCGCTTAGAGACAGAAACTTTGGGCTCTGTTGTGGTCGTAAGTCGAGGACGACGTGTGCTGTCTTTTCCCACTTTCCCTCATTTAGTACATGCTGAGGGGGGTCTGGCTCTGCAAGGAAGGGTGAGAAGCTGGGAGTCCACCTCTTCTTGACCGGAGACGTAAGTCTGAGGACCTATGATGCGGGGGGGGGGGGGGGAAATAGGACAAAACGTTTAGCTACTGTATATTTGCAATATCTACACGGGGGCTGAAATCGGTTGCCCATTTACTCATTTCCTTCATCCCTTTTTCATGAGATCCATTGGTCCAGGCTTTACGGGAAGAGAAACTGAACCTCGAGGAGAAATGAGGAACAATCCACGTTTCTCTTATTCTCCAGAAATGAAACAAGAAAGAATGAGATTCTCCATAGAGAATCTTTTTCCTTGCTTAAATATGATGGTGGTCCCATGTCATCTCTCGGTCTTCTTCCATGAAGAAGGGAGGGAGGGAGGGAGGAGAAAGAAAGAAAGAGAAAAAGAAAAAAAAGAAAGAAAGAAAGAAGGAAGGAAGGAAAGAAAAGAAAGAAAGAGAATAGTGTGGGAGGAAAGAAAGGAAAAGAAAAGAAAGGGATGGAGGGAGGGAGGCTAGAAGGAAGGAAGGGAAGAAGGAAGAAAGGAGAAGGAAAGAAAAAAGAAAGGGAGGGTGGAAGGAAAGAAAAGAGAAAAAGGAGAGGGAGGGAGGGATGGAAGAAGGAAGGAAAGGAAAGAAAGAGAAAGAAGAGGGAGGGAGGGAGGAAAGAAAGGAAGGAAAAGGAAAGAAAAGGGAGGCTAGAAGGAAGAAGAAAAAGAAAAAAGGGAGGGAGTGAGGAAAGAGGAAAAGAAGGAAAAGGAAAGGGATGGGGGAAGGAAGGAAGGAAAGAAGGAAGGAGAAAGAAAAAGAAAGGAGGGAGGAAGGAAAGAAAGAAAAAGAAGAAAGAAAAGGAGAGGGAGGGATGGAGGAAGGAAGGAAAAAAGGAAGGAGAAAGAAAGAAAAAGAAAGAAAGAAAGAAAGAAAGAAGGGAGGGAGGAAAGAAAGAAAAAGAAGAAAGAAAAGGAGAGGTTGGGATGAAGGAAGGAAGATACTTTGGACCTGGTGCCCTTTTTCTTCCACTTCTCAGTCTCTGTGTCTTGTATTTTCTTGTGAATGGGCCATCCCCTCTGTACAGCCGGTATTCTGGGGCAATATTTCTCCTGCCTTCTGTTTCTTTCACCGATCACCGTTCCTTTCCATTAAACTCTGCGGTTCTCCTGGCTCTCTTCTCGGTGTGGGCGTCTTTCATTTTCCTTTTGATGGAAGAGAATATTTGAATTGGGGAGACCTCGGTGCTCTCTGAAGTGGGTGGTTTCCTTGTAGACCTTTCATGACCAAGATAGCTAACATCATCAGTGCAAGAAGGGAGTCAGTGGGGTTAGTGGAGAGGAGGAAGAGGAGGAGGAGAACAATGGCTGTGTGATGCTTGGTGCTCTCTGAGCTGGGTGGTTTTCTTGCAGACGTTTCTTGACCCAGGTAGCTAACATCATCAGTGCTAGAAGGGAGTCAGTGGGGTTAGTGGAGAGGAGGAGGAGGAGGAGGAGGAGAAGAAGAAGAAGAAGAAGAAGAAGAAGAAGAAGAAGAAGAAGAAGAAAGAAGAAGAAGAAGAAGAAGAAGAAGAAGAAGAAGAAGAAGAAGAAGAAGAAGAAGAAGAAGAAGAAGAAGAAGAAGAAGAAGAAGAAGAAGAAGAAGAAGAAGAAGAAGAAGAAGAAGAAGAAGAAGAAGAAGAAGAATAGCTGTGGGGTGCTTGGTGCTCTCTGAGTTGGGTGATTTTCTTGCAGACGTTTCTTGACCCAGGTAGCTAACATCATCAGATGCTAGAAGGGAGTCAGTGGGGTTAGTGGAGAGGAGGAGGAGGAGGAGGAGGAGGAGGAGGAGGAGGAGGAGGAGGAGGAGGAGGAGAACAAAGACTGTGGGGTCCCTGGTGCTCTCTGAGCTGGGTGGTTTCCTTGCAGACGTTTCTTGACCCAAGTAGCTAACATCATCAGCACTAGTGAGTGTGGGGTTTGCCGCCTATTTCCCCTCAGTTAGAGTAAATAAGCTAAGAAGGAAATAGACCAGAACACCAATATCCAGATAAACAGGGATTCACACCAGACAAACCATCAAGCAGAAAGCAATACCTTAATTCAGGAACTATCAAGGAGAAGTCCACACCCCCACCGATACAGGTACTGCTCGGCTTACAACAGTTCATTTAGTGACCGCTCAAAGTTACAACAGCACTGGAAAAAAGTGGCTGAAGAACCATTTTTCACACTTAACGACCGTTGCAGCCTCCCCGTGGTCACGTCATCAAAATTCAGAGGCTTGGCAACTGACTCGTATTTATGATGGTTGCAGTGTCCCAAGGTCACGTGATCGATCCCCTTTGGGGACCTTCTGACCAGCAAAGTTTTTTTTGGGGGGGGGGGGAGAGGCCAGATTCACTTAACAACCTGGTGACCAGCTTAACAACGGCAGTGATCCAACTTAACCACGGTGGCCAGAAAGGTCGTAAAATGGGACAAAAACTCACCTAACCAATGTTTTTTTTTTAAGTTGGAAGGGACCTTGGAGGTCATCTAGTCCAACCCCCTGCTCAGGCAGGAAACCCTATACCATTTCAGACAAATGGCTGTCCAGTCTCTTCTTAAAAACTTCCAGTGTTGGAGAAGGGAGGGAGGGAGGGAGGGAGGAAGGAAAAAAAAGAATAACCGAATAACAGACTCGGAAGGGACCTTGGAGGTCATCTAGTCCAACCCTATGCTCAGGCAGGAAACCCTACACCAGTGATGGCGAATCTTTTAGAGACCGAGTGCCCAAACTGCAACCCAAAACTCACTTATTGATCGCAAAGTGCCAGCATTGTGGTGCCCTTGGGGGGAGGCATGGCCCACTGGGTGGGCGTGGCTGTGGTGGTCATGGCAGACTGGGTGGGTGTGGCCAAGGTGGGCTTCATCACCTCGCTGTTGCTCGTGGGGAGGGACGCCTGTGGGGGCCGGGCAGGGTTGGGGGAGATCCAGGGGGTCTCTGGCAGGTGGGGCGTGGGGCAGGAGGCTCATCCTGCAGGGTGAGGCGAGGCAAGGCGAGGCAGGGCGGGGTGCCATTGTCACAGGGCAAGGTGAGGCAGGGGCCGGGGCAGCTGCTGCCTGACACCATCGGCCCCCACACACAGAGGCCAGCGAGCGCATAGGTGCTGGGATGCATCAGGCCATGTGGGACCTCAGTGAGTTAGCAGGTGGCTGGTTGAAGAGGGACAGTTGCCAACTCCGGGGCATGGCGCACGTGCGCACGTGCCATAAGTTCGCCACCACTGCCTTAGATGCTGGAAGACAGCTATCCTGTCCCCACTGATCCTTCTCTTCATTAAACTAGACCAGTGGTTCTCAACCTGTGGGTCGGGCATTTCATGGGGGTCGCCAAACAACGCAGTCCGCCATTTTTTTCCCCTTTTCCTTAGCTGTGCTACTCCCTTTTATTCTATTGGCTTTTGAAAGCCAATAGAATAGACTCTCTTGAATAGAGTCTAATTCTATTGGCTTTCAAAAGCCAATGGGAATTGTCCAGGTTGTCTCTGCCCTGCTGAGCCCGCCAAACGTCCCATTCTGCCAACGGTGCTGCACCAGTTGAGTAGTCCTTGACTTACGACCAGTTGAATAGTCCTCAACCTATGACCGGTTGGGGGTCGCGGCATTAGAGAGAACCACTGAACTAGACATACCCAATTCCAGCAACCGTTCCTCATATGTTTTAGCCTCCAGTCCCATGTCTCACTTAGCAACAGAAAGTTTGGGCTCAGTTCTGGTCGTAAGTTGACTACCTGTACATAAACGGGGAGAAGAATCTCACACCCGCTCAGACAGATGATGTTACCTAGTTAGGTTAATGAAATGTGTGCAAGCAAGACAGTCAAGCTCAGACCATCACCAAGTTTTTCATTTTTCTTTCCCGGTGAGGAGACAGGTGGGTCCTGTCTGCTTTGCAAGCCAGAAAGAGCTGCACACCAGAAAAAGCAGATGAG